CCAACTAAATTATAACTACAACTATAAATCAAATGATATTAAGTGCATTTGTAGGGTACATATTACAAACACAGAGGGAAAGACTGGTTTAGTTCCTTGACTCTGAGACTCTGTGACTACTTTACTGAGTTATTACTTCACTGAGTAGCTCGTGGTGATAAATGCCAAAGATAACCTGTAGTAGGACGGCTGAAATGTAAACTCAATCAGTGAGTTTCAAAACAACACCTCTCTTGTAGAGAGACCAGCGGCTCCTCAGTGACACTCCGGAGCCTTATAGAGGCACAGCACAGCGCAGGCTTCGGCAGCGAACAGCTGTGCTGAGGGAAGCATGTTCTGAAGGGTTTGCCTCAGGTGAAGAGGGTGAAATCCTTTTAGAGCTTGAGGAAAGATGAGATACGGCCCGGGAGAAACACGGCACAGTGGGAGAGAGAACAGAGAAAAGAGAACAGGCTGCAGAGAGAGAGAGGGAGAGAGGGACAAGGGGGAGAGTGGGAGAAACTGTGAGAAAGAGACAAAAAGAGAAGAAGAGGGAGAGAGAAAAACAGAGGAACGGAGAGAAACAATGGAAGTGTGAATAGATGAATAGAGAATAGTGAAATAGAGAGAAACAGAGGAATAGAGAAAAAGAAATGGAGAGAAATAGAGGAATAGAGAAATACAGGAATAGAGAAGAGAGAAATACAGAGAAATAGAGAAATGGTCAATAGAGAAATAGAGAGAAACAGAGACAAAGAGAGGAATAGAGAAATAGAGAGAAACAGAGGAATACAAAATACAGAAATAGAGACAATAGACAGAAAAGAGAAAAAGAACAGAAAAATAGAAAGAGATAGAGGAATGGTGAATAGAGAAACAGAGGAACAGAGAAAAGAGAAATAGAGGAATAGAGAAAATAGAAATAGAGAGAAATAAAGGAATAGAGAATTGAGAAATAGAGAGAAATAGAGGAATAGAGAAATAGAGAAATAGTGAGAAATAGAGGAATACAGAAAAGAGAAACAGAGAGAAATAGAGGAATAGAGAAAAGAGAATAGAGAAATAAAGGAATAGAGAATCAAGAAATAGAGAAATAGAGAAATAGAGAAAAGAGAAAAGAGAAATAGAGAGAAATAGAGAGAAATAGAGGAATAGAGAAAATAGAAATAGAGAAATAAAGGAATAGAGAATCGAGAAATAGAGAGAAATAGAGGAATAGACAAAAAGAGAAAAATAGAAGAATACAGAATAGAGAAAGAGAGAGAAATAGAGTAAGAGAGAAATAGAGAGGAACTGAGAAATACAGAGTAGAGAAATTGAGAAATAGAGAGAATATAGGAACAGAGAACAGAGAAATATAGAGAAATAAAGGAATAGAGAATAGAGAAAAAGAGAGAAATAGAGGAATAGAGAACAGAGAAACTGAGATAAACAGAGGAATAGAGAACAGAGAAATGGAGAGAAATAGAGGAAAAGAGAACACAGAAATAGAGAGACAGAGAATAGAGAAAGCGAGAGAAACCGTGAGGAAGTGAGAGAGAGTAAGAGTGAGAGAAGCTGTGAGAAACAAAGAAAAAGAGGGGGTGAGAGAGAGAAAGAGAGAAAACTATGCCAGGACTTCTGGGCTCAAACTCTCAGCAGAACTACAGAACTCATGACGACTGGCTGTGGACCCTCCTGTAGACCCCCTCGCTCTGAGAAAGGCAGAGAGGTTAAAGCAGAGCGTTAGAAAGCCAGAGCCACAAGAGACGAGCAGAGCCAGAGCCAGAGAGAGGGAGAGAGGGAGAGAGAGAGGTGAAGGAGAAGGCGCTGAAAGAAAATGAAGGAAGGAAAAACGGAGACAGGGGCGGCTGGAGGCCCCAAACGGCCGGGGCAGATGAAAGGGCCAGCGGCTGCAGGCAAATTACACCGACTCCTGTTGTCTAGACAGCAGGATAATCACTCCACCCTGCAGCGTGCGTCAGTGCACTTTAACAGCAGCCAGGCACAGCATCACACACACCTCCTCAAACTCAGCATACAGCACGGTGAACAGCCGTTAGTGCTGAGAGCCGGTAGCAGGTCAGAGAGCAGGTCAGAACGAACCTTTTCAGGTGCTAATTATCACCAGCGATAACCAGTGAGATTCAGCGTTAGTTATCGCTCACGCAGAGCTCATTAAAACCAGCAGAGACATTCGGCTGTTGAATTAGGGCTGGGCAATATGACAACATATATCGTTATTGTGATAAATTATGTCACAACAGAATACAATACGCGTTCCTGAACATATTGTGGATACTGTCAGTACTTGAACACTGACCAACTGGATATTTCATTATAAAGAGAGCAAAATTAGTCCCATTTAACTGTATTTAGTGCAGCGCAGTGCCTAATATTGATAAAAATCATTGTATTTCACATGTTTTTGTAATGTAGTGCTACTAGTTCTTCTTTATCTGTTTTTTAACTGACCAGATGTCTGAAAAAATAAATATCGTGACATATCGTGTATCATGAAAATTTCTTGAAGTAACGCGATATTTTATTTTTGCGATATCGGCCACCTCTACCACGTACACACCCAGTTACTTCCAAAAAGAAAATGTTTTATATTGATAAAAATAAACATAACACAGTGTCGCGGATGTGATGCCTCATTCTTTTTCTCCTTTAGTCATCTACACAACCTAAATCAGTGACATGCACTCAATAATCTGATCATAATCGGATTTCTGCAGTTATCTGATTATTCAAATGTTCATGTAAACAGCATACCCTGATTTCTTAGATTGGAGTAAGGTTTAGAAATCTGATTAAGAAATCTGATAAAGAGAGCTGGATTTTAGCTCAGTAATCAGATTTCTCAGTGCATGTGAACTCTTACTCTGATTTCTTTCGGATTTCTCAGTCTGCGCATGTGCGAAAACAGATGACGGTACCGGAAATCAGAAAGCAGCGTCACCACGAGACGCAGCGAAACGCTTTTGGAGCGACGCTAAAACCGACTACATTCTTGTTCGGAATTAAGGATTTAAATATTCTTCATCTTCTAGATGATGTCTGTTCATATTTTCAGGTAAAGTGCCGCAATGTTTAAAAAAATAACAGCTGCGGGATGAAGTTTTACTTTACATCACGCCACGTCTTCTTCTGTGAGTTTACTGGCTGGTTGAAAGCAGAAATCTGGTTACTAACTGATTCATGTAGACCTGGAGTTTCCCCATTGTCTGATTACTCAAGTGCATGTAAACGTGTTGATCGGATTACTGATAAAATCTGATTTTCTGCAGTTATCGGATAATTAAGTGCACGTAAACACACTCAGTGTTTCTCCACCCTGGTCCTGGAGGCCCACTGCCATGCACATTTTGTGCTTTTCCTGCTTTAACACACCCACTTTAACACAATAATGGGCTGTTAATGAGCTGATCAGTTGGATTAGGTGTGTTGGGAGCAGGGAAAAGACCAAAAAGTGGAGGCAGTGGGCCTCCAGCACCAGGATTGAGAAACACTGGCATAAATCTTCTTCAACCCCTTAAAATCCCAGGATCATTACATAGTAAGTCTTATTATTCAGTAACTACAGGGACTTCAATGCAAAGTGGCTGAGCTATTCTTAGGTTATAGAATTGTGTAATAAAGCTTTGGGCCTGCTGACAGGCATTGGCCATTTAATGGGTTAAAATAAGCCTTTCTCTCATGGGTTGTTTCAGACTGGTGGGAAACACTGTATTATGATGTAAATTTGATGAAAAGCTATTTTGTTTTGTAGAAAGAAACATCTTTTGCAATAGATTAATATAATTAAATGTGAATGTAAATCATTATGCAACTATTTAATTCATTATTATAGCAAAATGAGAAGTGAGGCCCTTTACACACTCAGTTATGTATGTCCAGTTCTTCATTAAAGGCAGCACAATCACAGATTAGGCTTATACCTCCACAAATGCCCTAATACCCACATTAAAATGTACATTATGCATGTTTACTATACTCTCGGCTAGAAAATTCAGGGTTAGCCCTGGGGCGTCCAGGGTGCAATGCCTGAACGGGACTTTAAACATAAAGCAACCTTTGGTTGCTGTCTTTTATTGACATGAGCGCGCACTGTTACATTTGTTTACCATTTACGCTCTGCGGAACTTCTATACGAGTTAAGCAGTTAACAGGGGAAAACACAGTGTTATAAAGTGGTTATAAAAGGGTTATAAAATGCATAATGTTCTGCAGACCCACTCTCCAAAGCTCAAATAACTGAGACAGAGCCACTCACCCCCCCCCCACCCCACCAACCCCCCACCCCACCAACCCCCCACTTAAGCAGGGACCTTACGCTTGTCCAAACAAGAGTTTGCATGCCCATATGTTTTGTGTCCGAATCCCCTTTGGATGTTTAGATGTGAAATAGACAAAAGCCTCTTCGGCCAGATACTTTCTAATGCACCACCAAGCTCTTAACCCCAGGGACCCCCACCCGCCCCCATACCCCACTGGAGTCCACAAAACAGCCTTAGTTTGGAAAAGAGGCACTAAAAGGTCTCCGCAGACTGCTTCTTCCAGTTTAGTCTGCTGATGCTTGGACAAGGTGCCTGTCAGAGCGGGGTCAGGATGGGAACCAGTCACACACGCTGAGCAGCTCCTTCACCCCCAAGTAATGACTGCGGAGTCAAACTCATAGAAGTTAAGTTACAAACACCGTTTTCTCCTCTTTTTTCCTCCTGCAGTGATTCAGTGCGCAGCCCTGCTCGCTTTAGCCTCATTAGTTTCAGACCCTGTGCTCTCTAACAACTTCCACGGAGACAAAAAGGCTCCAGCTGGGCTTTGATCTGCAGGGGCTACAGAGGGCAAACTCGGCGCAAAGAAAAGAGAGAGAGAGGGGGAACGAGAGCAGCCGCGTTTGGCTAAACCCAGTAACCCAGCATGCCCCTTGCTGATCACGCTTTCTCAGAGAAATGCAATGCGACGTTTGCAGCTATGCACGTGAATCGCACGTGGAGGGAATGAAAGCTGGTCGCGCGCTGGAGAAAGTTTCTTACCTTAAGGCTGGCCGCCGCGCGCAGGATCCAGGCGCTGAGCAGCAGTGTACGTGTGAAGCAGCGCAGCATGGCTCAGCGGCAGAGACACGGACAGCTGCTGCAGCCCTAATGCCGCGCAGACCCGGCGGAGGGAGGGAGGAGGCACCGACCTGCAGGAGCGCGGGGAGGCGGGGCGGACAGGGGGCGGGGCGTTCCGGAGCGAGGGGCGGGGGGCGGAGCGTGCGGTTTGATTGGCAGCGAAGAGCTCAGAAGCGTCACGGGCCGGAAATGGTACACTCTTAAAAAAAGATGGCTCTTTAGCAAAGGGATTGGGTCTATTTAGAACCATGAGTTCTATATAGAACCATTTCCATGCTTAAATCGTTCTTCAGACTGATGGAGAATGTAAGGTGGTTCTATATAGAACCTTATTGTGTCACACTGGTGCACTACAGTGGTACACTCTTAAAAAAGATGGTTCTTCAAGGGTTCTTTAGTAAAGGGAATGGGTCTATTTAGAACCATGAGTTCTATATAGAACCATTTCCATGCTTAAATCGTTCTTCAGACTGATGGAGAATGTAATGTGGTTCTATATAGAACCTTATTGTTTCATACTGGTACACTACAATGGTACACTCTTAAAAACGATGGCTCTTCAAGGGTTCTTTAGCAAAGGGAATGGTTCTGTTTAGAGCCATGAGTTCTTTTTAGGACCACTTCCATGCTTAAATGGACCTATATAGAACCTTTTTGAAAACTGTTCCACACTGGTACACTACAATGGTACACTCTTAAAAAGATGGCTCTTTGGCAAAGGGATTGGGTGTATTTAGAACCATGAGTTCTATATGGGACCTTTTTTGAAAACTGTTCCACACGTACACTACAATGGTACACTCTTAAAAAAGATGGCTGTTCAAGTGTTCTTTAGCAAAGAAAATGGTTCTGTGTAGAACCATGGACACTCAAAGAACCATTTACGTGTTTAAATGGTTCTTCAGATTGATGGAGAATGCTTTGTGTTTGGTTCTATGTAGAACCTTTTTGAAAACTGTTCTACACTCTTGAAAAAAATGGTTTTTCAAGGGTTTTTTTAATAAAGAAAATGGTTCTATATAGACTCTTGAACACTCACAGAACCCTTTACATGATTAAAGGGTTCCTTGCATCGTGAAATGGTTCTTCAGATTGATTGAGAATGTGTTGTATATGGTTCTGTATAGAACCTTTTTGAAAACTGATACACTCTTTAGCAAAGGGAATGGTTCTTTTTAGAGCCATGAGTTCTAAACAGAATCATTTCCATGCTTAAATGGCTCCTTAGATTGATAGAGAATGTGTTGTATAGGGTTCTGCATAGAATCTTTTTGAAAATTGTTCTATCTTCTTAAAAAAGATGGTTCTTCAAGGCTTCTTTAGCAAAGGTGAAAGGTTCTATTTAGAACCATGAGTTCTATACAGAACCATTTCCATGCTAAAGTGGATCTTCAGATTGATAGAGAACATGTTGTGTATGGTTCTATTTAGAACCTTTATCAAAATTGTTCTACACTCTTAAAATAGACGGTTCTTTAAGCATTTTTTAGTGAAGAAAACGGTTCTATATAAAATCTTGAACACTCAAAGAACGCTTTACACAATTCTTTGGGGTTCTTTGCATCATGAAATTCTTCAGATTGACTGAGAATGTGTTGTATACGGTTCTATACAGAACTTTTTTGAAAATTTTTACACACTGGTACACTACAAACATACATTCTTAAAAAAGATGGTTCTTCAAGCGTTCTTTAGCAAAGAGAATGGTTCTTTTTAGAGCCATGAGTTCTATACAGAACCATTTCCATGCTTAAATGGTTCCTCATATTGATAGAGAATGTGTGGAATAGGGTTCTACATAGAACCTTTTTGAAAATCGTTCTACCCTCTTAAAAAAAGATGGCTCTTCAAGGGTTGTTTAGCAAAGGGAAAGGTTCTATTTAGAAACATGAGTTCTACATAGAACCATGTCCCTGCTTTAATGGTTCTTCAGATTGATAGAGAATGTATTGTACATGGTTCTACACAGAACCTTTTTGAAAATCGTTCTACCCTCTTAAAAAAAGATGGCCCTTCGAGGGTTGTTTAGCAAAGGGAAAGGTTCTATTTAGAAACATGAGTTCTACATAGAACCAGCGAATGAGCGGAGTTCGTTACTCTGACGTAGTAACAAGCTGCTTGTTAAGGAACTATAATTTGGTGAAGGAACTGCGAACATTAAAACATATTAAACGCCGCGTTCACGACCCAGTTTATTAATTTATTACTGTATTTATTTAACTGTTGTATTAAAGCAATAGAACACTCGAGGAGAGTTATCGCCAATAACATCACGGCTGTGATGATCTACGGCGACCAAATCACAGCCGTGATGTTATTCCGCCATAACACACTCCCTCTCGTGTTCTATTGCTTAAAAGTAACTAGAGCTGCAGCACTGTTCTGCCTCAGGGTGGCGCTGTAGCAAATTGGTTCATTCGGTCCTTCATAGCCTAGGAACTGTAACTAGGCCCAGGATACCACTGAAAACCTTTACAGTGTGTCACAGCAAATCTGTAAATCTGAAAACCTGCCCAGTTTCACAAGAGTTTGGTGGGAAGAGTGATGAAAGTTATCACCCATTCCTAAAACCAGAGACAAAACAGGAGAACAAAAGAAGAAATGCTGAACCAAACATTTTGTCACCCATAAAACTACACACTTAAAAATGGTTCTTAGAGGGTTCTTCAGTAAAGAAAATGCTTCTATTTAACACTATGAACACTCAAAGAACCCTTCGCATGATTAAAGGTTTCTTCGCATCGTAAAATAGTCCTTCAGATTGATGGAGAACGTGCTGTAGATGGTTCTACAAAGAACCTTTTCGAAAAGGGTTCAAAACGGGTTTGTCTATTTTTACAGCACATTCTCCATCATTGTGAAGAACCCTTTGATGACACAAAGAACCCTTTAATCATGCAAAGGGTTCTTTGATCATGGTTTTACCGAGAACCATTTTCTTCACTAAAGAACCCACGAGGAACCATCATTTTTAAGAGTGTGGCATTAGTGACGCTATGGTGAGTGAGTTATGCCGGAGTAACCAGCCAACCTGGGACCCCTAAATACCAGGGGGTATTTCACAAACTGGTTCTAGCTACCAAAAAGCCTTCTGCTATTTTTACGCTGTCAAGCTTGTAACAATAGCAGAACCCTTTTTGGTGCTAAATAGAGCCAGGTTCTATACAAAAGCATTGTCTTTACTAAAGAACCTTTGAAGAACCACCTTTTAAAGAGCTTACTGAAGACAGGCCTGAGAAAAAACACAGTAAAATGTATGAATATTGAGCAAGTTCTGGGCTCAGATTAGTTCACCAACCAAAGATGTCCAGAGAATACTGGTCAGAAACTGATGATGGTGAAGGGCCAGAGAATAAAATGTGAGCAGTAACACCCACTAACCTGCCGCTACCATGTTGGTGCTGCCGCTGTACTGTTGACGTGGGCGTCACTTCATGCTGAGAAGAGCTGAAGACAAGGATAAAGTGGAAAAAGTGTCAAACGCTACACGCAAACATGTTCACAATGACAGTCCTGTTACAAAAATAGCTCTGGCCACATGAATAAACGTCCAATGATGTAACAATATTTTTTGTTATTGTTGGTGTGATATTCATGAAGAACTTGGAAATATGGAAATAAATGTTTTTCCGGAGAGATGTGTGTGCAGATTAATGTCCAAGATTCATTTGACTTTTAAAGAGAATATTTTTTTTCAGTTATGATGTTTTTGTTATCTTTAACACTAATACCACTAGAATGATGGCCGTCCCCCAATTTTGGCCACTATCGGTCACTTCGCAGCTCATCTTTCAGCTAAAACCAGTAGTTGGCCTATTCATCCACAGAGCCGCAGCACTGCAACTTTAGACCAGCACCCTTACCTGAATTTCAAATTTGAAATCGAGCGTTCAGGATGCAGCAGTGCAGGGTCTACTGATTCTACCCCATGTGCTCGGCTTAAAGAGGAATTCTCCCAGTAAAGTGACAAAATAGTGGAAAATTTGAAAAGATTTTGCCTTAGAACAACCTGCATGTCTCCATCATGAATGGGTTTTTAAAAAAAAGCATATTTTTGGCCAAAAGTTTCTCTCAGAACTATTGTACAACAAAGAGAGTGTTTACATGCACTTAATAATCTGACCATAATCGGATTTCGGCAGTTATTCAAGTGGTTGTGTGAACAGCAAACTCGTATTTCTTAGATCGAATTAAGGCCTGGAAATCCGATTAAGAAATCCACTCACTCTGATTTCTTTCTTTTTCTCAGTCTGCACATGTGCAAAAACAGAGCGCTGTCCCAGAAACAGCAACGCAGCACCTGCAAGATGGCAACAAAACACTTTTGGAGCGACGCTAAAGCAAACTACACGCTTGATGAAAGGAAGGATTTGAATATTCTACATCTTCTAGATGATGTATGTTCATATTTTCCGCTAAATTGATAACATTTTAAGAAAAGCTGTGGCATGATGTTTTAGTTACATTCACGTCACGTTTACATCACGTCTTCTTCTGTGAGTTTACTGACTGATTACTGCCTGACTCATGCAGACCCGGAGTTTTTTTTCCCATTATCTGATTACTCAAGTGCATGTAAACGTGTTGATCGGATTACTGGCAAAATCAGATTTTCTGCAGTTATTGGATTATTAAGTGCATGTAAACACACTCAGTGTGTCAGACATCAGGCAGTTTATTCCTATCCACTTTATGTAAACTTTTAGAGGCATTAAACTCTTCAGATGTCTGGTTCCTATCACCACCACTGTAAACAGTTCTGACTCAGTGAGTTTCTCTAGAACAGAGCGTTTCACACCAAACCACTCTGAATGAGTTTAATTAGTTTAATTAGCACATTTAATAGTGCAGACAAAAAGGTGTGATTGTCCAATCATTATTAAGACAAAGCCCAGCACTACCCTCGTCATCTCCGAGGTAATCAGAGCTGCAGCTGACATTTTAGAAGATGATAGGAATAAAATGGGGCATTCGGAAAAGCAGTGGGGACGTGTCCACTTCCTTCCCAGTGTAAATGATCTGCCT